TTGTCTCCTTGTAAAGATATTTTTGATGTTCTCCTCATCCATCCCAAGCAATCTCAGACTCCTTGTGTACATCTCTATTGTGTGTGTGGGTGAAGAATGCATATATACCGTATACATATGTGTATGTATATGGAATACATATATATATTCTCTCATCAGGCTATATTGTTTTTAATGTGTCTATTACCCCCACCAAACTGCTGTCTCCAATGTATTATTCCTCAGAAGAATTACCCTGTCATCTGGTTTAGTGTCTAGCATAAAGTGTGTCATGGATAAATGTAGACTGATAGAGATTTTGATATATCTCTTTGCTGAGTGAAGGAATCAGGGAATGGCTGATTGACTCACTGACTGACTGAATGAGTGATCTTATATGTCAGGGACATATGAGTTGAGTGGTGTTTGGCATGGCCACACAAGTCTCTACATATTTATGGGCTGAACAAGTGTTACTGGGTAATGATGCTATCTTTTTGTGTGTATTCTTTTACTCTCTCTAGTGCTTTATTGCCATGGCTCTTTGACTTCAGCTTTATAGGAAGCAGATCAGAGTAAGGGGTTAGAGAGGAAACTGGCCTGCAGGGCTGGAGGCTGTGGTCTCTCCTATCCCCCCTCCCCCACCTGCAAGTAAGGATGTGTCTCTTGGACTGGGAAGTTCATTCCTGTCATTTCATTCTTCTTATTCTTTTGAAGCTAATCTGAGAAATAGGGATATCCTCCTATCAGTAGCTCATACTTCCTACCTTTCCCTCTTAACCCTGGGGAGGCCCTTCCTGGACAGGGGGGCATAATAGAGATGAAGAGGTCACTGGGATGGACAAGGGAGTAGGGTGCACATTACAGCAGGTCACTTGAGCCCTCTGGACCTCTGAGTCTTCGTTTATCAGAGGAGGCTTTGCCACATCCCCTCTGATTTTAACAGTCTGATGTTACACAATGACTATGGCACTGATGAGGATGATCGTGTAGTAGCAGTAGCCTTAGGAGAGGGTCGGTGGTGAGTTCAAATCCTCCAGGCAAGCTCTTGCCCCCTGTGGCATGAAATCAAAGAGGGCACATTTTGCTAATGTGCTTTATCTTGCCCATCAGTTCTGGAACCTAATTCCACAGGGTGATCACAGTCAGCAGGCCTCCTCATCTAAGGAGACGCAATCCCAGGAGCAACTGCCCTCTGACCTGCTGGCTGGCCTGTCCATTACTCATCCTGTCACCAGTCTTGAGACTGGCTTACTGCCTGCCGGGAGCTCCTCAGTCGGGAGCAGCAGCAGAGCCAGGGATGAAACAGGATGCTTGCTGAGAGAGGCCACAGGGTGGAGACCATCAGACTTGGAAGGTGATGTAGCCCAGACCAAACACACATGCTCAGCGTGAGAGCCTGAGGAAATGTGGATGCAGTGTGATCAGGGACGAAGGGAGTGGCTAGCTGGGCCCCTGGGAGAAAAGGGTCTGGCTTGTGGTACCCAGACACTAGGAAAAGGTCATGGCTTTGCCAAACCAAACAGTCGAGTCATGAGGGACAGGCTTGGCTGATTTGATGGTGGCTCCAGTCTCCTCTATCTGCGTTTCCCATTCACTGGCTGCAATAATATACAAGAAGCAGTCAAAATCTCAGTTCCTGACAGGATCCATAGTGAGGGGAGAACAAACATCACAGAAGCCAGCCGGGGCTAGTGCCCGATTTAATCAGGGGCTCGTCCCAGTAGATGGAGCCTGGAAAGTTCTTCTCTTGCCGCTGTGGGTCTAGGGGGCTCCACAATGAATCTTTCTAAAAGGACTTCCTGAGTTTTGATGGACGTTATGTCAGGTCTCCCAACACATTCCAGGAGAGTAACCGAGCGATAAAAAGAGATGGGGAGACGGCAGACACCGGAACCCTGAGGAAAGAAAGGACAGAGTGACGTCAAGAGTGAGTACATGGCCAAAGCCACAAACCATAGTGCCTCTAGGTAGGAACTGGGCTTTGCAATAGCTCATAACCTTGGGAGAATTTCTTACTCACACTGACTGGGCTCTGGTTCTCTCACCTTATGTATAGGAAATGAAAGGAGCTCCCTATTAAATTAATTTTGAAAATGAACCAGGAAAGACTTGAAATACTATAATCACAGATGCACAAAAGTACTCTTCTTTCCCTTCCCCAACATACAGGATGTAATGCACTCATGCAGTAATCATCTTTGAGCTTGACTCAGGACACCGCCAGTAGCTTAATCCAAAGACTGAAACACCTTTCAAGGTTCCAGCCCGTTATGCAGAAGTCCTTCATCCTTTGGGCTGTTTGATTCTAGGCAAACCGCTAGACTGGAATATGACTGCAACCCATATGCTGGGATAAATCAGCGCTGCCGGGCTCTGAGGAGTGACCAGAGGGATGCTTGCAAAAACACAGTAAACAGGACATGGAGGAAGTCGGGAGCTGGACTCAGGCTGTTAACAAGCTCCCCCCTCATTGTCAGGAAATGTGGGGAGCTGAGGGCCACTGAGCACACAATGATGCAGCGGGAAGTGGCCTTTATAAATACCCAGGGGTCAGGGCCAGGCCCGGCAAACAATAGGGGAAATGATGATGAAGGGCAGTGGGTGTGGGGGGTGGGGAAGGCCAGGATGATTCCATCAATGACAATAGCTGAGCAGGCAGTTGGTGGGGGTGGGGGGTGCGGAGGGAGGCCTGGGGATTGTGAACCAAACAATACAAATTGCCAGGCAACTCAGTAGCCATAACACAGGGCGGTGGATTCTGTAAATAGTCCACAGTATGTCCCATTGTTCCTTCAAGAATTTCTCCCTGGCCCATACGTACGTGTCAAAGATCTCTGTTTTGCTTCATTTACCGGAAGCTACTTCAGCATTCAGAGGATGCCATTCTTCACCAGCGGTGAGAGTGGGCTATTTGGCCGCATTTTCTGCCTTGAGTTCATCCTTTTAAGCAAATAACCACCAAAGGAAGCTTGAGAAGCCTGGTGCGGAAGGGACAGAGGGTAACAGACAATTGTCTTAGATCTGCACCTTGATCTGATCTCTCTAGATCTGTATGGTGTGGATGGGGATGCATAGATGAGGATATCACCCCTCCTTTGCCATGTAAGAGGATGCATCTACAGAACATAGCCTATAATGAAGCCGAGTATATGAAAGGCTAAGGGAAAGGAAATAAACCAAAGTAGGATTCTTTTGTCACTTATCCACCATGAATTGTTACTTGCTGGTCAAGCAGGCGAGCGAATGGCTATTTGTAAAGCTCTCTAAAGGAACTAGATAACTTCTTTCATAGGACAGTTCCTAATTCTTTCCATGATAAACTGGAAATAGGACAGATCATTTAAATTCTTTGGGCTTAAAATTTCCCTTAACACACGTGTGCCATTGAGGCTCTCCAAGGCACTACTCTCATGGAAAGAAAAGTTTTAGATAAACCCATTCCCCCCACCCTCCCCCCCATCTTAGCCCAGCCATTATTCATTGGACTTTGGACGTTCAACTTTTCTTCTGACACGTAGATTGTGTTAGGGAAGCAGCACCTGTTCTATTCATGTGTGATTTCATGAAACTCTGAAACTCAAAGAAGAATAAAAGAAAGAAAGGGTCATCAAGTAGCATTTTCAGTCTGACTGTGTGTTTACAAATCACAGGATGACTTCCATGTACAAAGATAGTTGTGACATATGGCTATACCTCAAACAGAAATTGCACCTCACGAGATCAAATGTTCAGTATATCCGTTAATACATTTTCTTGCACCTCATTGTAAATATGATTAAAGATCTAACTGGGTAATCAATGGTTGAATATCATCCCTTTCTTTCAACTGTAAGCTTTGCAGAGCTAGGTACTAAGCCTCTCCTGTTAATGTGGTTTTTCCAGTGCTCAGTATAGTTCTCCCATGTAATTGGCTCTTATTTCACATTTATTGAGTGACCAGGGGAAAGGATGCTCTCGTGCTGATGGGATGGGTTCCTTCTTTATTTACAGACACCACAAGCAGCGAGCTGTAATCTGTAACCAGGGCCTTGCTTCTTTCCCAGTCCTCGCCACAATCCTCCAAGTCTAGGGATGGCTTCATCACGAGCATGTCTGCATGGTGTCCTCCAGGGTGACAGGGTTTGCTGTGTCAGGTGCATCTCTGATGGCAAAGGAGGTCTTCATGGCATATGTAATTAACTAAAGTTGTCTAAATTGGAGTGAAATAAAGATGTGAAATTCAAATGGGGAGTAAGTTCCTTTATATCTTTTTTAATATTTATTGTTTATAACACACATTTGAAAAACACAGGTTTTGCCTTTCAGTGAGAAGAGATTAAACAAAACATAAAATTAGAGCTTGCTAAGGGCATCCCAATACTAACATTAAACTTCACATACTGCTGGTGAAAAGTATAAATAGGCATATACTTTCTGGCAAGCAGTTTTGTATTAAGGGATAACAAAATACAAAATATAAAGATATTTATATTCTTCCACTCAACAGTTTTATTTTAGCGATCTTTCATAAATGTGGACAAAAGTTTATAACCAAAGATGTTTATCATAACTTTATAGTAATAATTTTAAAAGTAAGAAATAACTTTTCTAATAATAGAGATATTTAACTAAATACCTGAAGAATAATGAATATCGTGAGACCATCGAATTAAATTATGAAATTATGATATCATTAAAATTACTTTTATATGTAGTTTGGATCAGTGGCTATTATTTGACGAAATGGGAAAATGCAGGATATAAAATATATGTAGAATATATTCCCAATTATGAAAAAATACATACAAATCTAAAAAAGTCTGTTAAAAGCATTATTGTAAAATATTAACAGTGATAGTTTCAGAATTTTAGAATGGTAGTTTTCTACTTTTCTTCTAGATATATGTTTTTTGTTTTTTCTGAAATTGTTTTAATTATAGACATGAATGCTACAATAAATTTTAAAAAGCTTTGCTTTCATGAGTTTATCTGTAAAGTTCCAAATTTAATGTTTCTCTGTCAATCTCTGGAAGAAATGAAGATGTAGGCATGATTCTCTTCAAAATGAAGAAGAGGAGAAAGAGAGGCAGACAGAGGCTCAGTATTGTTGGAGGCAATGTTCTTTTGGTTTTAGAAAAGATCATGAGGGAATCACAGCTGTAATATACAAATACATGGTAAGTACCTGTGCTCCTCCCCCTACCCCTCCTTGACAAGCCATTGAGTGGAAGAGAAGATCATTTATGAAGAGGTGATGGAAAGTGGCAGCTGTACGCCAACTGAAGATGAAAGTTCTCATGGTCACAACTGCTAGATATTGGAATGGTCTTTGATATCAGAAAGCATTTAGGGAGAGGTCTGTTTTCGTGAAAGAATCAGCTAAACAAAGTACAAGCAGAGGCACCACAGGATGATAGTGATGAACAAAGGTAGACTAAGCAATAAGAGCTAACATAAGTTGTGTATTCACCTTTCGCCAGGTGCTTTTCTTAGTGTTTGATATGTGCTAATTCCCTTAATTCTTGCAGTAAACCCATGACTGAGATGATAGAACTATCCTAATTTTATCCATTTGTAAATTGAGGCATAAATGTTAAGTAACTTGTCTGCTGTCACAGAACTACAGGAGAAATCAGGAATTAAATCCAGGAAATCTAGCTTACAGCCTTTGCTTTTTTTTTTTTTTTTTTTTTATCATGACATAATCCTTCATTGATAGGAGTTCTGAACAATAGAAAGGCATTACATTATTCCCAGGTGTTTGTATTCCCATAGCCATGAGATTCATTCAGTAGGACAAAAAATTGCACTTTAATAGAAAATAATATTGTAAGAGGAAGTAGCTATATTTCCCTTAAGACCAAAAGTCCCATTCAATATTCATTCATTCAATAAATATTTATTGAGGGCAGGATGCCCTGGCAGTAGAGATAAAAGACTTACTCTAGAAAGACAGATCGACAAGTAAGTGATGTGCTGAAGGGCACTGAGAGCCTTTGATGGGCTTATGCAGGACTGATATAATTACATGGACATTTTAGAAAAGATACTTTGACAATGTGAACAATGGCAAAGAAACTACAGGGAGACAGATTTGGAAGTAACATAACAATCAGCTCAGACATACTGAAGGCTTAAAGTACAGTCATCTGAATTGGATGAAAAAGATAGAAATTGAGGACTATAATAGTTGGAGTCCTATCAGGAAGGCAATGGTCCACTCTAGCGTTAATAAGTTTAATATAGGGATTATTTACAGAGTGCATGAGTGAGGCTTAAGAAAGGAAGTGTGGACTGAGCAGTGCCCTGGGGTTGGTAACATCCAGAAATAGGAGTCTTTATTACCTCTAATCCTCATGGGCAGCAGGGATGATTACCAGCACCCAGAGTGGGCTGTGTGGGAAGGGATGTGTGATAGGCTCTGCCCTTATGTCTCAGGAAGAGCCAGACCATGGTGACCCTGCAGGGAGGAAATAAATAAAGGACTCTCACCCCTGCTGTATTCATCTCCTGCCAGTGCTCACCAAAGTCAAACCCAGCTCATGGCCAGAGAGCAAGGAAGCTCTATGGTTTATGTCCTATAAGTCAGTCTCCTTGCTCGTGTGCTTCAGAAGGGGATGTGGATCTGGAGGAGCATGTGGAAGGTGACTGGCTCAGTAACGATTCACACGTAGTAATAAGAAAAGAGGGCGAAATCTGCCATTTATCCTGGATTTGGGGATGGGGTCATTACTTCTAGGTCCTGAGATAAGGAATTGAAGAACACATTTTTGAAGTGCATGTGACAAATGCATATTTGGTATGCAATAACTTTTGGTATGCAGTTATTATATGGCAAGGAAGTGAGAGATACAGAAGACTGGTAGTTACCACTGGTTTACATAGGGAGAGTCACAAGCATGGCGGCGGAAGAGGTAAATCAGGAGGGTATCTGTAGAGGGATTTGAAGATGAGTAAGGGCTCACCAGTGTTTAGTGATGTGATGAAAACAAAGGCAGTCAGAAGTATCAGTTGCCGGGGTTCCAAATCCATCTAAACCTGGCCTCTCCCTGTGGGCCAGGATTCTTGGGTATACGTTTGCTTTAAATGGACTTCCACAGTTCCAAGGTGGAAAATACACAGTGATGGGGATTTTAAGCTGAGAAGTTAAAGACTGGGCCTCAGAATAGAATCTCAAATGATGACCTTTCCTCTCAAAGCCTTCCTTACCTTTCTGGAATAGCGTTCATTGACCACGTCCTACCTCACAGGGTGTTTTTAAGGATAAATGAGATAATGTCTGTAGAGCCCCTAGGGAGGAAGCACCGATGCAGATAAGCACATGCTCTGGTATTTTTAGCTGAGAGTGTTGGGTGTTCAGGACGTGCCATTTAGCAATTCCTGGAGTCTTGAAAAGGAAAGAGAAAGGGGTGGGGAGACAGGGAATCAGTGGCATACAACAAATGTTGTTTTTCGAGAAATCCCTCCCACTCCGAGTGTAAGAATCCACGTCAAAGGAAGCAAACACCATGTGTAGATAAAACAGGAAGGTGACAGGTTTGCCTGCTTGCAACCAAGATGGGGTGATGCCAAAGGGCTAGTCTGGCTGCTTGTTCACTGTAGGGGGCAGAGGTCCAACTGCCGGCTACTCCGCTGATAATGAAACCAGGGTTAACTAACTCTCTGTCCCGTGTAGAATGGCAGGAAACATCTTCATCACCCATGACTCCTGGAGAGAGTGGTGGGGGTTTGGGAGGGAGTGCGCTTCCTGTCAAGATTCCAGAAAGGGTGATCACCCTCTACAGAGGCATGAGCACTAGCTTGCTGACCCAACACAAGTGAGGCTGCAGAGGGACTGACCAGGGGGTCTGGCCCGCCCTTCCCAGTCCATATCTGCTTCATAAGCACAAAGCCTTTGAGAAAGTAATAACAGGAACCTTGGAAAGATAACTTACTTGGAGAAAGGTCTTGGAAGAGTTCATCCAACGGCTTTATCAATGCGTTTGTCTTTTTTTCTTCCCCATTCTGTAGTAAGAATGTTTATTTCTAAACCTCGCACTACAGACCTGTGTCTTCTTATATTTCAAAAGGCAATAAAGTTTGAGTACCTATTATGCCACAGGCCCTGAGTTAAAAATTTTATATACATCATGTCATTTAACCCTCTCTACAAAACTGTGATTTATTGATCCGTGTTGGATCAATATATTTACTGATATATTATGAATCCATTTTTACAGGTAAGAAAGCTGAGGCAGATATCTAAGACTGGATATCAATAGTTAGATCTGGGTTCAAATCCTATCTTGCTCTACATAAGCAGCATGGTATTTGGGAAACAATTTAACCCTTCCAAGCTCGGTTTCTCTAACTATGAATCAGAGGGCATAAGTTCCATCATTGGATTATTATGGAGGTCCAATGAGATAGAGCAGATGAAACTTGAATTTAGTTTTATATTGTGTCTCTGTTCTTTCCATGCATAGTCTGTTAAAATCATAAGCACATGGAGTAAAATCAGGATGTTTTTCTCAGGCTGCTTGACCTCAAGTATTTAAATTTATTTCAGAGCAAAATTAATGGGAGAGAGTAATTTTATTTTGACCTTGGTCAACTTGTTAGTTTTGCTTCCTTAAAACTGAAGGAGTATGCCCTCTGTAGATACCTACAGAGATATCTAGACATGACTTTTTGATTGGGTAAGACTATCCCTTGGTTTGTGAAGCAATGACACACAGACCTATTTTGAAGGAATGAGTGATGAAGTTCATATCACATCTCCTGGTCTCTCGTGGTGAGTGGCTTAGTATCAAGCCAGCAATCACCTGCAAGATAAAGGATTGGGAGATAATGCAATTTCCTTAGGAGATGGAGGGTTTTCATTACATAAAGCCATAAAACATTAACTTCACCAAGGACCCAGTTCTCTTAATTTACAGGTGAGGAAATTAGGAACCAGTTCAGTTAAGCTCCAATTCTCACAGCCAGGTAAGCATACGGGCAGGGTTAGAGCTCAGCACCAAGGCTTTTCTCATTCTATTATACTCTCATTTTTGCCTTTCATATCTTCTACATGTTCTCTTAGCTGGTCCTCCCCCTTTTCTGAGTATTCTCCCCCTACACAATGGGTGGGGTTTGTGATAGTACCTTCCCATGGGAAATGTTCACAAAATATTTGTAGCATGAATAAACAATGGCATAGCTGGAAGTATTTTACTAACCAGTTTCTTGAATCTCTGACTAGCTCTTCCTGTTACTAAGATTTGGATTTGGATCAGTTAGTTCAGGTAGTGTAGACAGCAATTCACCTGGAGTTAGAGAATGAAGAGTAATTGTTCTTCTTCTTTTTTTTTTTTAATGTGTCATCCTTTCCTTTATTTTCAGGATTGTCCCTCATTTGCGGAGTATTAAATATTGCAATTGCCTTCAAGTAATTACACCCCCAATGACAGGCCGGTCTCTGACAGTGAATATTTCTTACTGGTAGAGAATTAGACTAAGTGACAGGGTTAATTCCCAACAGGACATAAGGGTGTTGGTGGTGTGAGGCTGTTGTGCTGTGGGAGGCACATCAATTATGTCCCTGACAGTCCAAAACGAGTGGAGGAAGGGCTTTATCTGTGCCTAGAATATTACCTCCTTCCATCATTTATCAAGGCTTTTGATGTTCTTCTTGATGTGAATGGGAGGCAATCAAGGTGCTTTCTTCAAACCCGACTCTGGAAATTTCATTTATGTGAAGTTTGAAAATGATTAGGTAGAAATGAACTCCTAACGTGAAAAGGAAAGGCATGCATTAACATGCCCTGTGCCTCTTGACTCCGTTCTTCTGACCAACCTGCTGAGATTCATCAGGCATGGAGGCAATTATCAGCCTATCGAGTGGAAAGGTTAAATGGGTTTTATCATCTTCTCACTAAGATGACAATTCTAGTGTCAAGTTTCATTTGGTTGATAAATGTCATGTGGGAAAGAACAACAGCAGACCCTGGTCTCTCTTGGGCAGCCTGCCTGCAAGATGGCAGAGTGGAAGAACTTGAGGGGAAGATGGGAGGGGTTGGAGAGAAGGGCAGGTTGAAGTCTGTGCTCACCTGAGAGCAATGGAGAAGTCCACGATCCTAAGACATAGCTGTGTTGAGTTCCAGAGCCACCTCTGGCATACAAATTTATGTCCATGTCAGTCTATGTCATCCATCAC